AGTATTGGCCGAGATAGAGGTGGTCATGGCTGTTGGGATAATTGACGTCTATCATGTAGCGCGTCTGAGACATAACAAGGCGACGAATGCATGTACGGTACTGGCCCCACCTCTGAGTACATCACTCAGCGGTGGGGCCAGGCAAAGAATGAGTGAATTTAGACCAGTATTGGCCGAGATTGAGGTGGTCATGGCTGTTCGGATAATTGACGCCTGTCATGTAGCGCATCCGAGAGATGACGAGGCCACGAATGCATGTACGGTACTGGTCCCACCTCTGAGTACGTCGAAGAATGAGTGAATTTGGACCAGTATTGGCCGAGATAGAGGTGGTCATGGCTGTTGGGATAATTGACGCCTATCATGTAGCGCGTCCGAGACATAACAAGGCGACGAATGCATGTACGGTACTGGCCCCACCTCTGAGTACATCACTCAGCGGTGGGGCCAGGCAAAGAATGAGTGAATTTGGACCAGTATTGGCCGAGATTGAGGTGGTCATGGCTGTTCGGATAATTGACGCCTGTCATGTAGCGCATCCGAGAGATGACGAGGCCACGAATGCATGTACGGTACTGGTCCCACCTCTGAGTACGTCGAAGAATGAGTGAATTTGGACCAGTATTGGCCGAGATAGAGGTGGTCATGGCTGTTGGGATAATTGACGCCTATCATGTAGCGCGTCCGAGACATAACAAGGCGACCCCATTACAGGCTAACGTTATGCGCTTTCCTGCAATACTCAAATGTGGTTGCAGTATTGTTGAAAATGAAGTTAACTTACCGGTATCCCAACACATCGAGCTCGATGTACTAACGTTGCGACCACGAACACGCCAGCTTGCATACGGTCTGGACAGTGCGTTATATAAATCTCAATTCGGAGTCAAGACGACCATGACATGGTTTCTACAGTTTGGTTTCACAATGTCAATTGCAAGCTGGGCAGATTAATAGCGTAAAACTGTGCTGTGGATGTTTATGTTAGTATGTACTGCCAAATTATCAGTACTGTAAACTCAGAGTATTCACATAGCATACTACTAAACACATACCGACTTGTCATTTCAACGACATACATACCGGTATATATACTGTACTTCACCACATCACGTTTCTGAAACAAGTTCCATCAGTCGCATGGCATTTCTATCTCCAATTGTCGTGGCTGGATGGAGTTTGACCACCTTTGTGATTTTGCACATTATAGCCAATAGAAATGCTTAGCTTGCAGCCTGACGTGCGTGGTGCAAATTCGATTTATATCACGTCAAATTCAAATATCTTGATATTTGTATGGTGGACGGGAGGCGATGCTCCCCCATTTGGTTGTTTGTGTTGGCGCAGTGCGGGAAAAAGTTAACTTTAGTTCCAGTTACATACAACTGCGAGACTAAGAGCAGTCACGCGAAGCCGAAGCACGTCCCCGAAGACATGTGAACGGCGCCCTAAGGTAGACGCTCTGAACGTTTAAAGCCAAATGTGGTGACCGAGCATGAAGGGGCAGAAACTGAAGTAGTTCCGACAGTATACTTTATTCAAGCCAATCCATTGAAGTCGATATATTAATAGAGAGGTTTAGCAACTTTTCCAGACCGCATCCATTCCGCACATTTTTGACAACAACCGCCTTATGGATACGGTCTGGAATATAATATATTTGATTTAGCACAATTCCAGTCACCATCCATACATTCATCCGGTAAGTTATTCCGGATACACTGTGATCTCACCATCGCCACCGAAGGACGACGACTCATGCCAATCACGCAGACAGACGGCGCCATGCTTCTGTCGCTGGCTAAGACCATGCGTCAACGCCAATTCGTCCTTGCCCTGCTGGCCACACAACACGTCGAACGGCCACTGATCCCCGAAGTCCGTTTCAACCTGGACGATATGACGGATGCTAACGCAGTGCTCGACTACCGCTTTGACGTCGTGGGCATCCGCAAACTCGGCTACTACCTCGGCCTACCAGCGGTGGTGGTAACCGAAAACCGGAGCCGTGCTTTGCGTGACGAAGCAATGTGTATTGTCCTCGGTCGGATGGCATTTCCAACAAGGTTGCACGGGATGTCCAAAACATTTGGAC